CGTGATGGTGGTCGTGATAGTGGTGATGGTGGTCGTGATGGTAGTCGTGATGGTGGTGATGATGGTGGTGGTGGTCGTGATGGTGGTCGTGATAGTGGTTGTGGTGGTGGTCGTGATGGTGGTCGTGATAGTGGTGGTGGTGGTGGTGGTGGTCGTGGTGGTGGTCGTGATAGTGGTGGTGGTCGTGATGGTGGTCGTGATGGTGGTGGTGGTTGTGGTGGTGGTGGTGGACGTGGTCGTGATGGTGGTGGAGGTGATGGTGGTGGTGGTGGTGACCGTGGTCGTGGTCGTGATGGTGGTACTGGTGGTGGTTGTCTTGATGGTGGTCGTAGTGGTGTCCATGGTCGTGATGGTGATGGTGGTGGTGGTTTTCGTGATGGTGGTTTTTTTTTTCGTGATGGTAGTCGTGATGGTGCTTGTGATGATGGTCGTGATGGTGGTCGTGATGTTGGTCGTGGTGGTGGTCGTGATGGTGGTCGTGATGTTGGTGGTGGTCGTGATGGTGGTCGTGATGTTGGTGGTGGTCGTGCTGGTGGTCGTGCTGGTGATCGTGGTCGTGATCGTGGTCGTGAAAGTGGTGGTGGTGGTGGTGGTGGTCGTGATGGTGGTGGTGGTGGTGATGGTAGTCGTGATGGTGGTGGTGGTGGTCACGGTCGTGATGGTGGTCGTGATGATGTTCGTGATGGTAGTGGCTTGGGTGGTCGTGATGGTGGTCGTGATGGTAGTCGTGATGGTGGCGGTGGTGGTCGTGATGTTTGTCGCGGTGGTGGTGGTGGTGGTCATTGTCGTGAAGGTTGTCGTGATGGTGGTGGTGGTCGTGGTGGTGGTCGTGAAGGTGGTGGTGGTGGTGGTCGTGATGGTGGTCGTGATGGTGGTCGTGATAGTGGTCGTGATGGTGGTCGTGATGGTGGTCGTGATGGTGGTCGTGATAGTGGTGGTGGTGGTGATGGTGGTGGTGATGGTGGTGGTGGTCGTGATGGTGGTCGTGATGGTGGTGGTGGTGGTGGTCGTGATGGTGGTCGTAATGGTGGTCGTGATCGTGGTCGTGATACTGGTGGTGGTGGTGGTCGTGATGGTGGTGGTGATGGTGGTGGTGGTCGTGATGGTGGTGGTGGTGGTGGTGGTGGTGGTGGTCGTGATGGTGATGGTGGCCGTGTTCGTGGTCGTGATGGTGGTTGTGGTGGCGGTGGTGGTCGTGATGGTCGTGGTGGTCGTGATTGTGATGGTGGTGGTGGTCGTGATGGTGGTCTTGATGATGGTGGTGGTGGTGGTGGTTGTGATGGTGATGGGGGTGGTGGCCGTGATGGTGGTCGTGATGGTAGTCGTGATGGTGGTCGTGATCGTGGTCGTGATGGTGGTGGTGATGGGGGTGGTGGTCGTGATTGTGGTCGTGATGGTGGTCGTGATGGTGGTCGTGATAGTGGTCGTGATAGTGGTGGTGGTGGTGGTCGTGATGGTAGTCGTGATGGTGGTCGTGATAGTGGTCGTGATGGGGGTGGTGGTGGTTGTTGTGATGGTAGTCGTGATGGTGGTGGTGGTGGTGGTCGTGATGTTTGTCGTGATGGTGGTCGTGATGGTAGTCGTGGTGGTGGTCGTGATGGTGGTCGTGATTGTGATGGTGATGGGGGTGGTGGCCGTGATGGTGGTCGTGATAGTGGTCGTGATGGGGGTGGTGGTGGTTGGTGATGGTAGTCGTGATGGTGGTGGTGGTGGTGGGTCGTGATGTTTGTCGTGATGGTGGTCGTGATGGTAGTCGTGGTGGTGGTCGTGATGGTGGTCGTGGTTGTGATGGTGATGGGGGTGGTGGCCGTGATGGTGGTCGTGATTGTGGTGGTGATGGTGGTCGTGATAGTGGTCGTGATGGTGGTGGTGATGGTGGTCGTGATGGTGGGGGTGATGGTGGTCGTGATGGTGGTCGTGATGGTGGTGGTGATGGTGGTGGTGATGGTGGTCGTGATAGCGGTGGTGGTGGTGGTCGTGATGGTAGTCGTGATGGTGATGGTGGTGGTGGTGGTGGTCGTGATGGTGGTCGTAATGGTGGTCGTGATCGTGGTCGTGATACGTGATGGTGGTGGTGATGGTGGTCGTGATGGTGGGGGTGATGGTGGTCGTGATGGTGGTGGTGGTGGTGGTCGTGATGGCGGTGGTGGTCGTGGTCGTGATGGTGATCGTGATGTTGGTGGTGGTCGTGCTGGTGGTTGTGCTGGTGGTGGTAGTCGTGATGGTGATCGTGGTAGTGGTGGTGGTGGTGGTCATGCTCGTGATGGTGATGGTGGTCGTGATGGTAGTCGTGATGGTGGTGGTGGTGATCGTGATGTTTGTCGTGGTGGTCGTGGTGGTGGTCGTGAAGGTGGTCGTGATGGTGGTGGTGGTGGTGGTGGTGATCATGATGGTGATGATGGCCGTGTTCGTGGTCGTGATGGTGGTTGTGGTGGCGGTGGTCGTGGTGGTGGTGGTGGTGGTGGTGTTGGTGGTGGTGGTGGTGGTCGTGATTGTGATGGTGGTGGTTGTCGTGCTGGTTGTGCTGGTTGTGGTGGTCGTGATGGTGGTCGTGCTGCTGGTGGTGGTGGTGATCGTGATGGTGGTCGTGATAGTGGTGGTTGTGGTGGTCATGGTCGTGATGGTGATCGTGGTCGTGGTGGTGGTCGTGATGGTGATGGTGGTCGTGATGGTGGTCGTGATAGTTGTGGTGGTCGTGGTCGTGGTGGTGGTTGTGATGGTGGTGGTGGTGGTGGTCGTGATGGTGGTCGTGATGGTGGTGGTGGTCGTGATGGTGGTCGTGATTGTGGTGGTGGTGGTGGTGGTGGTCGTGATGGTTGTGGTGATGGTGGTGGTGGTCGTGATGGTGGTCGTGATGGTGGTCGTGATGGTAGTCGTGATGGTGGTGGTGGTGGTCGTGATGTTTGTCGTGGTGGTGGTGGTCGTGGTGGTGGTCGTGATGGTGGTGGTGGTCGTGATGGTGGTCGTGATGGTGGTGGTGGTCGTGCTGTTGGTCGTGCTGGTGGTGGTGGTCGTGATGGTGGTGGTGATAGTGGTGGTGGTGGTGGTGGTCGTGATGGTGGTCGTGATAGTGGTGGTGGTGGTGGTGGTGGTGGATGTGGTCGTGATGGTGGTGGTGGTGGTGGTGTTTTCCGTTGTCGTGGTCGTGATGGTGGTCCTGGTGGTGGTCCTGGTGGTGGTTGTCATCGTGATGGTGGTCGTGGTGGTGTCCGTGGTCGTGATGTTGTTGGTGGTGGTGGTCGTGATGGTGGTCGTGATGTTGGTGGTGGTCGTGCTGGTGGTTGTGCTGGTGGTGGTGGTCGTGATGGTGATCGTGGTAGTGGTGGTGGTGGTGGTCATGCTCGTGATGGTGGTGGTGGTGGTCGTGGTGGTGGTCGTGATGGTGGTCGTTGTCGTGGTCATGATGGTGGTCGTGGTGCTGGTCGTGATAGTGGTGGTGGTGGTGGTCATGGTCGTGATGATGGTGGTGGTGGTGGTCGTGATGGTGGTCGTGATAGTGGTGGTGGTGGTGGTCATGGTCGTGATGGTGGTCGTGGTGGTGGTCGTGGTCGTGATGGTGGTGGTGTTCGTGGTCGTGGCGGTGGAAGTGATGGTGGTGGTGGTGGTGGTCGTGGTGGTGGTCGTGGTCGTGATTGTGGTCGTGATGGTGGTGGTGGTCGCGCTGGTGGTCGTGCTGGTGGTGGTGGTCGTGCTGGTGGTCGTGCTGGTGGTGGTCGTGATAGTGGTGATGGTGATGGTAGTCGTGATAGTGGTGGTGGTTGTCATGGTCGTGATGGTGGTGGTAGTGGTGGTCGTGATGGTGGTCGTGATGGTGGTCGTGGTCGTGGTCGTGGTGGTGGTCGTGATGGTGGTGGTGGTCGTGGTCGTGATGGTGGTTGTGATGGTGGTGGTGGTGGTGGTGGTCGTGATGGTGGTCGTGATGGTGGTGGTGGTCGTGATGGTGGTCGTGATTGTGGTGGTGGTGGTGGTGGTGATGGTGGTCGTGATGGTGGTGGTGGTGGTGGTGGTGGTGGTCGTGATGGTGGTCGTGATGGTTGTGGTGATGGTGGTGGTGGTCGTGATGGTGGTCGTGATGGTGGTCGTGATGGTAGTCGTGATGGTGTTGGTGGTGGTCGTGATGTTTGTCGTGGTGGTGGTGGTGGTGGTGGTGGTCGTGAAGGTGGTCGTGATGGTGGTGGTGGTGGTGGTGGTGATCATGATGGTGATGATGGCCGTGTTCGTGGTCGTGATGGTGGTTGTGGTGGCGGTGGTCGTCGTGGTGGTGGTGGTGGTGGTCGTGATTGTGATGGTGGTGGTTGTCGTGCTGGTTGTGGTGGTCGTGATGGTGGTCGTGCTGGTGGTGGTGGTGGTGATCGTGATGGTGGTCGTGATAGTGGTGGTTGTGGTGGTCATGGTCGTGATGGTGATCGTGGTCGTGATGGTGGTCGTGATAGTTGTGGTGGTCGTGGTCGTGGTGGTGGTCGTGGTGGTGGTCGTGATGGTGGTCGTGCTGATGGTGGTGGTGGTGATCGTGATGGTGGTCGTGATAGTGGTGGTGGTGGTGGTCATGGTCGTGATGGTGGTCGTGGTCGTGGTGGTGGTCGTGATGGTGGTGGTGGTCGTGGTCGTGATGGTGGTCGTGGTGGTGGTCGTGGTGGATCTAGACTATTGTTAAGGCGATAAATATGGTCTCAACTATTCATTAGCTCCCCCACCCCACCACACACACACTCAATCTTTCAAATGGCTTATGTAGCAATTCTTCATAACTCCATACATTTCCAAGGGTTGTCTTGGTAGCCTATTATGGATATGGAACTGCTATAAATATTTTAGTAAGTACTTGCTTTAAATCAATACAGCAGTCTCCGATTCCTTTATGTAATTGCCAGGCGTGAGTTCCGACGCCACTGGAACAGAATGGTTAAGTTTCAGAGCCTGGGTATTTCTGGCTTTCTGTCGTGTTTGTTATGGACTTTCAGCACTGCGAATCAACCCGGCAGGCTTCTGGAGGGATGGAACCAAGATCCAACAAGGGTTTCAAACAGATTCCAATGTGCCAATTTGTGTAGGCAGTTAAAAAGCTGTAGACTGGCGGTGTACAGTTACCAAGAACGTACATGTTTGGTCAAACATTCAACGGAACGTGTGACTCCAGATGCCCAGGACTTGTACTCGGTGGTAAGGATATTTCTAGAATAGATTTTTAGATTTTTTAGTGTTGAGCAGGGACGTTTTCTTTGTTTGTTGTTTAACGCCGCACTCAGTAATATTCAAACTATATGGCTGCGGTCTGTAAATAATCGAGTCAGGACCAGACAATCCCGTTATCAAAACATCATGAGCATCGATCTACGCAATTGGGATACAATGACATGTGTCAACCAAGTCAACGAGGATGACCACCCGATCCCGTTAGTCGGTTCTTATGACAAGCATGGGTTGCTGAAGACTAAATCTAACCCGGATCTTAACGGGGCAGCAGGGAAGTACACAAGTATGGCATTTGTCGGTGGAATGTAAAAATATGCTACAACAAAGGATTTTGTAATAAAATTCTGCATTAAACATGCGACTGGGCCTCGGGGAAGTTGCGAATGCTTCGTTAATAATCCTCCCAAAAGGTTTGCTATCGGGTTTGTTTTTTTGCGAACTGCACAGAAAAACTACGAATGTTTCGCCAATAATCAACAGGTTTGGAATAATTCGTGAATAATCCGCTAAGAAGTTGCCAATAATTTGCGATATTAATGTAAATATTTGTTTTATGGACATATATCGGAGTTTAACGGGAACTCGTCGACACACGGCTAGCTATGTCATTACTCTTTATGTAAATGATTCTAATGATACTCAAAATGGAATGCAGTTAAGTCAAAGTACATTGTAGATAAATAAATACAAATAAATAAACATATTGCCCGTAAATATATATTTTTTTAAAGAAATTGCATTGTTCTTGTCTTGTTGAAATGTGCATCTATATGAACTTGCAAAAGAAGTTTGATAAATACAGCAAACCATCGCACATGCGCGGTTTGTTGGCGTAACCCGTGTAAATGCAAATAAACCTTGTAAGCTATGCTTCAAAAGACAAAGCGTATACCGAGAACGAGAGATCCACACAATCAAAGACAGCCAGGTCAGTAGGTGCAGTAAGAGCACCGATCTTTGACCACCCGACAGTCTAGACTAACGCTTAGGCGCTGAATATATATAATTTTTGATTGTAAGAAATAACCCAGTTTAAATTGTGAAAAGGAGCCCCAGTGAGATGGGAAATCCAGAACCTGGGGAAATCTAGATTTCCATCATTTTGGGCTTTAGTATTGCAGGGAGGGCTAGACAGTAAGGAAAATAATATGGTTCAGCGACTGTGAGACAGACTACCCGACAATATGACACTGTCACAGTCTAAAACATAGTGATTGTTACCTGTTGTGAGACGAGTGAACACATTTTACATTTTGTAGAAATTCCCGAAAACAACACCGTTGTCACAACATCAAACATCAATGTATTGTTACCTCGACCCAAAAGACTACCCCGACGATTTACTGGCTTATGCAGCTGAGTTGACAACAGACTGGGTTACCGTCTATAATGACAACATCATATACATTGTTTACACGCCTTTCTGATAACTGATTGATTATCCATCATCTTTGAAGATTTCCATGTACCAAAGGATGCCTGTTAATTAAATTCGTAACCTACACAACCGCAAAAAGTGAGGTGGAAGCCCATCAGATGCCGTTATTAAGAAATATCTTTGTGTTTGGGGGCGGCGGGGTAGCTTTGATTAAAATTAATGTGGGTATTATTTCTGATCCGCTGTGATGTTAATATTGCGATGACAGAGAGTCAGTGATTTAGGATCACATTTCTTTGTTCCATATCTTGATATTTAGGTCAACTGATATGTAGTGTTAAAATACGCATTTGATTTATTGTAAGCCGTAAACAAGCCCCTTTTGATATTGTCTGAATGAAAACAAATCATTTAGGTAAATGTGTATGTACCATCTTTTACTTTAGTTTACTATTTACACACCGCCGCCATATAGCTGGAATATTTCTGAGTGCGGCGTAAAACTAAACTCACTCACTCTACTTTAGTATGCAGTAAATACGTGCAAATAGCATTGATGTTCCATGCATATTCTGAAAACTGCAACGACCATTCAGTTAACTTAAATGCGTACGATACAAAAATTACAACTCTTTTGTTATGTTTGATGGTACAGACCCTTACATGTTTATTTATCGTCATCCACTTGCCCGTTTTCTTATAGGCATAATAAGTGATAATGTTATGAGTGTGTGTTTTTTTGGTAATTTGTAATTTGTAATTTGTAATATCACATTGATTAAGTGACAGTTATTATGGGTCACAATGTTTAAAGTTGTGAGTGTGGGTTTTGGCTCGCATCTCGCATCATATATGGTCAATGGCAATAATATTTGTAGCGGCACGCCTTTTTGATAGTGCTTCAGAGTTGCCTCCCTTGGTTGGCTTTATTTTGTTTTGACGTCTGGGTCTTATCATGTCGTGTGTTCGAGAAAATCCCGCATCGTTCTAAGAGAATAATGATGGAGCCCAGCTTTGATAGAATGCTCGAGAACTGTTTAAGGCTGGTTGTTGAGTAACGCGCGGGACCTTTCACATGACTGGAATTATACACATCTGTCTGCCATAATCAAGCAGACCAACATTTCAAGACTGACCGTGCTTGTCTATTCAACTGTTGTCATTGTAAACAACCCTTAATCAGTATATCTGTTCTCACTGTGAATGTCAAGACTCTGGTGAGTTAATATTATATATTTGTGACACAATATTTTAGATTCGTGACTCAATTGCATTGTACTAGAAATCTGTATTGTCATTCATTTGTAGCTTGCTCATTGTTTGTTCAAGATATTATTGAATATTTTAGACTTGTCTATATTCTATTTTGCTGGTTCAAAGGGGACTTTTAAACCTTTTGTCACGGCAAATTATTAACTTGAAGTTGGGAAGTACAATATAGACAGGCTATATGGATTACAACCTCTTTATATCATGAGAGCGACGTTTCCATACATATCATTCGTGCTTTACAACGGTACAAGAATCTGTATTGAAACGTTCCCAATTGGCGTTTCTTTGAGTGAATGATATATTTACGTGTGACACTAAAATTTCAAGGTAATATTGATTATGCAGCCTATAATCATACAGGGCTCGAAGAGACACGTTGTAAAACTGTAAAATATACATCATTTCTAAAGGGCAAGATAACGGTACTGTATTTTTGATAAAATGGTCAAATACATTAAATAAAATAATGGCTTGTTTGAACTAGTTGAAATATACTTAAACCATTTGCGACCATAAAGCATGTTAAAACACATTAAACCTAATTTTGATAAGAAAGTATTAGATGATAACATAAAATTCAATTTAAAATACGTTAGATACAATGGATGAATTATGTCATGTAATATGCCCGTGAATGCCCGAGAAATGAAGAGCTGAGGTTGAAAAACATTGTTTAAAGGATTAACCGATAAATCGCTGGTTGATTTGTCGAACGTGCTTGTATATGTCTGTAAAAACCACGTCTGTATTTATACCTACAGATAATCTCATTTACTGATTAAACTGACGATAGGAGGAAGATGGAGCAAGAATTAGCTCTGAAACGTCGTATAAAGAATAAAAAGTTGTTATTCATAGAAATGTGTCATGTATTCATGACTTCAGTGGCGCTATCTGGACACACACACACACACACATATACACATACATTATATACACACACACATATATATATATACATATATATATATATATATATATATATATATATACACACATACACACACACACATATATAATATATATATATAGTACATATATATACACACATATAAATATATACACACACATACATCTCCATACATATATATATATATATATATATACATACATATATATATATATATATATATATATATATATACACATACATTTATACAGACACACACACACACACACATATATATATATATATATATATATATATATATATATATATATATACACACGGATTAGTTTGACCAAAGCATTGATGATAAATGTTGTGTGTCTATGGTTGCCTGTTGTTGTTTAACGCCGCACTCAACAATTTTCCAGCTATATGAAGGCGTCTGTAAATAGTTAATTTAATGATTTACAAAATTTGCATTTTGTTTTCAATCATCTGTTATATCATTAAACATTCCAGTACATTAAAGGCACAATGTCACACATTTTCGAAAATATTTTGGCCTATAGTATACATACTGGAGCACATGCACTCACTGTAACTTCCCATTGATGCGATAATTACTTATGATCCTATCCTTGCCTGAAATCAATAATTGAAACTTCGAGGCGAACAGCTTCTAAACAGAGAACACTTGCCATACATGGAATGTAAACAATTGTTCCGTACATCGAAAAATGTCGCACGCGGCGTTGTCGGTGTTTGCCGAACTGGTTTCAATCACAAGTTGTGCGGAGGATATTCGTAAAGAGCGCTGCAAGGGACATAACTCTATGGGGTTTGCTTGAAATAATGTTCGGCCGGTAGAGGGCGCGACAGTCGATTTAATGCAACATTACATTAATTCATTCAAACTTATTAATTCAATATTCAATATTGTAATACGTATTTGTTTTTGGAATTAATTATATGGTAGCTTCCGCGAGGGCTGATAGTTAGTATTATTGAGAGAAATGCATTATTTATGTTTAGAGAAGTGTGGTGCGATATAGTGCCTTTAACTTGTTGATGGGAGTTTTTTCGATGCGCGACACAACACTAAGTGGTTCTTTACAGAAATCCTTTGCTAACATTTGTAATGGAAGTTGAACTTGGTAGATTTTCACCCTGAGTATTTCCATTAATCTGTAAATATTGACAGGAGACAAGTGGCAATTTCCTCAGTTTCGGCGTTGGTTCATTCACTGACGCCATAGACCACAGGTGTTTGCACAGGTTGTTTCTTGTCACCGCTTATCTTTGCTTTTAAAAGTTACAATTCACATTTATATTTCATTAGTTCATACTCTTTGTGAAGAATATACTGGTGTATAATTTTTATTTATCTACAAGATACTGTACAGCGTTTTATTCACTAAGTGTTTTTTT